ATATCAATAAAATTGATGTGTCTATCACGTGTATATTAGTCCGGCCGCTGGTGACTGACTTAATTACATTTCTCCACAATGTTTATGTTTTTGGGATATCGTAGGTGTTTTACCGAATTCCCGGTCGATTTTGTTTAAACAAGTCGCATTTGTTTAAACAAATAATAAAAATGTATATTTTCAATCTAAATAATTTTATTTCGATAAATCTGCCCAATTAAAAATAAAAAGTTCATTATAATTTTTCTCTAAAATGCATATTGAAAAAATTATTGACATTTAAAAGTCAATAATATTACTTTTTGTACTAACTTTGAATTTGAATAACTATTGACCTACTGAATATTTTTTGTTAAATAAAACATTCTGTTATTCCTTAACAGTGGCTCTATAACGTGATATATTTGAAAATAAATTTTATAATCTTAAACTCGAATAGTTCTATTGAAAGTTAACAAGTTTTTCTCCATGTCATAATGATTTTATTATAGCTGCCCTCAAGAACTGCACATATTAAATATTGAAAACGGGGAACGTATGTTATTTTTATAATTTGCATTGTAGAGGAAGATGATAAAAGATATTTTCTTCGTAAATTGGGCTAATTTATATAAAAAATCATTTGGTATGATTAATAATGATATTTCATTATTTGTTTGAAAAATGCGATTTAAACAAAATTAACAAGGAAATTAGAAATTCACCCACGATATTCGGATTCACGTACCCCAAAAACATAGAAAGAGCACATGTACAAAACTGTGAGTACCTTTGAAAGCCAGAAAAAAGCAGTAATTGATGCGCTTTGTAGCCGAACGCCTGTAATATATATACACCATCTTGGCGGCAATACCATATAATGATAGATATATATATAGTTCTTCGTATATAGATCCAAAAAAGTACGTTGCTTCGCGTAAAGTATTATTCGTATGAGATTGAATCAGTTACCAAATTAATATGCAAAGTAGCATCAGCAACTTTATTTTTTTAGACATAAAATTGAATAAATAATATAAAACGAAAATGCAAATTTATAAATTTAATTTTTTTTTTCGACGAAAACAATACAATAAGAAACTATTTTGTGGATACACTTTGTGTATGATTTTGTTAGTATTGAATGTTAATAAAGAATCGTAAAAATTAAAAAATGTCGTTGTGAAAAGTCGATAACGATTGTCGGTTCTACGGTTCTATAATATGCATATTACAATAATTGACAAACGGAAATAAAAAGCCATATAAAGTAGGTTAAATGTTTCTTAATTTTTCAGATATGCCATTAACTGCAGTATAATAAGCGCAATTGTATGTTAATATATGTCTGCTTAATCAATCATCAATCGTATTATATGAAATATATATATTTTTTTCTATAATTGTCTTACCTCGGAATAACATTTTTTGTATTATTACTTATCGATTGCTTATGCATGACATTATTTCATAAACGAAATTATTATTTCTTCGATTCTCAAGGACACATATGTACTTTTAATTTCATTAGATTTCATGTATTTTTTTACATAGAAAACTGTATTAACATTTTCTGGGGATTAATAAACTATGTACACTGCAACCTCCAATGAGCGGCTATGTAAAGGTAATTCTGGAGATACCATACAGATACATTCTGGTCATACCCATCTTTATTTATGCATATAATCTTATCCTCGGCGCACCACGCCGCGGAGATAGAGGCTCCCGCGCTTTGCATTATCGCTTATTGCAGAATAATTTATTAATCCCTGGAAATTATTAATACGGTTTTCTCTGTAAAATAAGTCGAAGGGATCCAATGAAATAAAAATTTTCTAAATCGCAACAGTGCCTTTGTGGGAAAAAGTCAATTGTTTATTTACAAAATTCCAAATTTACCAAAAAATGAATATTTCTATTTTGTTTTGAAATCAGTTTGAAGTACATGTCTTTAATTTTTGCAACGAACCGCGTTTCAATGTTTATTAGAAAATAAGTTATCGCATTATAAAAAATTTCTTTTGCTTTTTTTAAATTGTTAATATATTTTATTGTAATTTCATTTGTCTTTATAAGTCTTCAATACATTATAGATAATTGGCAGTTGTTGAACTTGTATTATCATTAATCACCGAATCGTTAGACGTCAAAGTGTGCGCGTCTTTTTTTCATAATCTCTCTTTTACCTTCCGTTGTACCTGCTTACAGAATTACTAGTACCGATTTTTTTTTTCATCTTGATAGATTAAGCATATGCAATGTTTAAATTTCTGATCGTTTTCTTTTGACCATCGTGCTGTTGTGTATTTAATTTTTTTTTGTTCACTTCATTTGCGCGGAATCTCACGAATTTTGTGAAAATACAAAGGTGTAACGCGTTTATACGATACATCTGGATATATATTTCATCTAGATATTATAAGTGTGGTATAATAGACATTTCATACATTTTTTTTTCATGTACACATCACTCGCAGAAATGATACAAAAACAGGGATTATGCGCTTGCTTATGCACTGGCAAAAAATTGCATGTGCGTGTGTCTTAATTTTTGTTCTTGTCATCTCCAGGTCGGTTTAACTTTGATTCGTTTTCATCATCTCATTACAAGTCTTGAATAAACTAATATGTTATGATTGAACAAACTAATTGTGATGTTTGTAGGAATAAAAAAAAAAGAAGAATTAGCGATGAACGGAGAGAGAATATTTGCAGATGGTTCAATCTAAAAAAGAACTAATGGATCTCAAAGCCTACGTTAGACATTGTACAACAAAAAAAAAACAAGAATTTATAAAACGAGAGTGAATTAAATATGATATTTATATCTCCGTAAATGTAACATCAAAAACCTTACTTCTTGTCTTTTAATGAATGACACATTTAAACAGAAAAAGAGCGAATAATTTTTTATGTAAGTTCAATCATGGGTGAACATTTTTTCTAATGATACACGAAAAAAAAATTCGTCAGACCTAAAAAAAATTCAATAGATATTATTAAACAAACAAAGTACATAACTAATACGCAGATGAGTTTATATAAGTGCCAGTGAGGCTATGAAAAAGTTAAATATAAAATGAAACGTGCAATTTTCTGCGACTAATCTCATAAATAGTTTTAGTCATTTATTCAATAATTATAATTATTCCAACGCAAAACGATTGGAAGAAATAAAAAAAAAATTGGTCGAAACGAAAAAAAAAAGTAAATCGATTGAGATTTAAACCCGTGACCGCAAAAACGAGAGCAGCGTGAGCACGCCTTAGCTACCGCGGCTATCGACGCACTGGTAGTGAGAGTATGAAAGTCACATATGTTTATCAGGGAGCATGGGTGTTTAGGATTAACTTTTCATGCTTGACCCGATAGTTAATCACTTAATTAAATTACACTGCACCTGAAAAAGCATAAAAAATGAAACACTCGATGTCATAGATGAAGCGCAACAACCGCGAGAATCCCAGCTCAGCTCAGAAAGTCGGAATTGCTTTCGAGCGAGCGAGTATAACACACGCATTGGCTCCGCCCCTTCACTCTCTCTCTCAGAGCGTACGGCATGCTCACAGTTTTGCGCCCAACGCACATTCCCCTCTTCTGTCGGAAGCACATATACTATGCCCCTCCAAAGCGCCGGAGGAGAAGGTGCGTTCAGTTCGCCGCTTGGCCACCACGGGGCGCTCGAACTAGCGAGTTCGGTCAGGCACGCTCTTACACATTACGGTTAGCTATCTCCCTACTAATCTCTGGAAGTATTGCTAAGACTAGTAAAGTCAGCCAAAATATTTGACTTAGAAAAAATCGCACATCGTACTTGAAATTGTCCAAGTTGATTACAATATATATTTTAAAAATAAAATCTGGTTTTTAGATAAAAATAGAATTTTTTAAGTAAAAATCAACAATTCTTAATTCTATCCATTCGACATTTCGATGATAATATTCTTAGTCATTTTAGGGAATTAAAAATCACTGGTATTTAATATTTATAGATTTTAATTGAAAAGTACATTGTCAAAATGTTTAAAATAAATTTTAAACACATATAATTTCAATTCTCTGCAGTTACTGGAAACATTATCAGTAAAAACGTCGGATGAATAAAATTGAAAGTTGTACCTATTATAGAAGTTAACAATAATCAATATATTAAAGACATTTTTTTATTAAATAAGTTAATAATTTTTTATTAATAAATAAATCGTATTTTTAAAATATCTTTTGTATTTCCTCAGTCGTCTTTGAATTATAGAATTTTGAAAATGTCCACTTTTTAAAAATTGTTTAGGATTAATTAATATTTTAGGTTTAAAGCAAGAACAAGACATAACATTCACAATTTTAATAAATTAGATTTTTCCTTTACCCTACGCTTCTCAGACTATAGGTCGCTTCCATTTACTACTATTATGTGTAAAGGATTATTTTCAAGAAGCACTCATGTTAACCTTACAAAGAAATCATATTTTTATCTTCACGGTAGGTACGCGGCATAAATTACTTTTGTGTTTATTGTATTTTTCGTCTTATTTTTGTGTATTTTTTCACTTCAATATTGCATGTTTTGATTATGCGATGAAATTTACAGTGGGCTGGGGTTTTCATTGCTTCAGTTACTGAATGTACAACATGTTGAACAGTGCAATTTCAACTACTGTGAAAAGAATATTGTGTTGATATTAGAATATTCATTTTTTACATAATCCATCAATATACACTGCAAAATAAATTCAAGTCTTCACGAGAGTCTAACTATGGGCCACCACTACTGTATTTCAACATCGTATTAATATTTTCTTTTGATAAACTAAACATTAAAAAAATCAAAGATTATACTTCAAGAGCTGTGAAAATAATTTTATTTTTATTGGTTTATAATAGAAATTATTTTTCGATAAACATTTCCAGATTTAAATATGAAAAGAGGTTGAGATAAATTGTAGAGATAAAATAACCAGTCATAACTTTAAACAATCAACATAATATTATACTATTAAAGAAAATATAAAAATTCTTACTTTTCTTCGTAGTTTGTCAAATGCTTCATTTAAATTAAACATTCTACGTCTTTCACGAATATTTGCTGCTCTTCTTTGTGAAATTGTGGCTACTCTACGTCTGGGTTTTTTTGTGGTTGATGAAAGAACGTTTGATGCTCTTCCATTTATGATATAACGACTGTAATAAATTGAAATTGAATATTACTGTATAATTTTTATATGGTAATCTAGAGTAATATTAAAAACATGATATCAAGATTTAGATTTTTTCTTCAATTATTATTCATTGATTAATGAGAAAACGAATAACTTTTTGTTGGAAAAGAGACAATTCTATGTTAAATAAAAAAGGTTCATTTTTTTGAACGATCGATAGCAAAATTGAAAAAATATCTCAATATAAAAACGATACATATAACATATCATTTTTCTCACGAAAAAACATAAAATATAAGTGACTTGAAAGAATTATATGTATCTTAGAGGCACCTTAACTAATAATTCAAGATCTAGGACCATGCATTCAGTCACTTTTGGCGTTGAGCCATTAGTGCTGGGCAGATACATGGAAAGTGAAGAGGAGTTTTTTCCTTCTTATTACACCACTTACTCTGATTACTATGGTCCTATGTTTTGTGCGTGCGTAAAATCGGAGCTTACAGTAACTGTTAATGAGTACAGGATATTTCACTTGTAACAGGTTTATTCAAGTTTATTCAAGTTCGAACTCTTTGGTCCATCTGTTCATGTTTTCGCGAAGTAAAGTATTGGATCATCTATATTCCTGCGATTGTTTTCAGATTACCTATCTTTTTTTCCATTTTGCTTTCAATAACGCTACAACCCTCTCGGGAATTGAGTATAGCAATCATATCTCTTGATCTGAGTAAGTGGTTGACTTAGGTGTTCAGCAAATTTATTTGTTCTTTAATTTTTCTTGTACCCTGAGTATCCGAGTATCCAGATAATGATACCAGTGTATCATAGTGCTATTTCATTTAGAGCTTCTCGGCTCCTTGATTACAGTTGAAGTAATATTCGAATTTTCTACGACTTTTATTGACGCCTTGCTGTGAGTACTGTCTCTAATTGCTCTGTTTCCAACATTATCTTAGACCGACACTTTCCAGAGGCCTATATAGGAGGTCTGGTAGTATTTCCTCGCACCTCCCTTTGGTAAAAAATTTCAAAATCTTCAGAATTTTTTGAATAGCCGACTGTGGTGACTCCTTCTTCAACATATGCCCGTATAAGCTGATCCAATACAAGGTTCCATAAGAGAGGTTAAAGTACTACGTCTTAAGGATATCCTTCATTGATTATTCCTTATACTATTTTACCTTTCCGTTCATTAAACACGCTTCTATGGCTCAGCATTCTTTGTCTCTATTTTCTAATGGATTCAGGTATACCTTAACCATTTAAAGCATTTTCTATCGTGTTCCTAAAGATATTGTCAATAGTACCCTCAAAGATTCTTATAACAGTCTTCTCTGATTCCATTGCTGTCTAAACATATCTAACCATTGAGTAGGGGATAGTCTCTAGAAATTTACACAGACTATGTATGCTGACTAGGATAAAGTGATGGTCGAAAACTAACATGTCTAGCCTAACATATTTACCAACCTATTCACTGTATTCAGTATAAATAAAATCAGGCTGATTGATTTGACATTTTTTTTTCGATATGAATAATCTTCGTGTTTTCTTCCATTTCTTTCAAGTATATCTTGCAGGAATACATCCCAGATGCCATCGGCTTCTCTTGAATCGTTGACAGAGTACTCGGAGCTCCAGATCAAATCTCGCGAGTTCGAGTAGTACCGCTCCATCAACGCACGACTTCTCAACCCGGCTATGTTAGTAAGGGACTGTTGTAAGGTGAGTACTTGGTAAGCTGGATTGGTATTGAGATGGTTCTTCCATTTGGCCCAGCTCTGTGGGGATACCGACTTTACTAGGACGAAACAAGTCTGAGGAGCCTTGTTCGTCTATCATTCTTTCATCAACTGCTCCGAACACGTCATAAAATGGGCAGCGGATGAAGGCAACTTGGAAAATGTTTCTGACATAACCGGCTCCCTCGTTAAGGGCCCGTCAGCACAACGTGCGGGGTACCGCCATTTACCTCTGACACAGCCCGAACCAACGAGGGATTGGAGTTAACTTTCTACGAACGGCTTTGTTCGCCCGTACCAGTGGGAGAAGTGGCCTTCTCTACTATTAGAGGATTTATACTAGGCACCTCCACAATATCAAAACTGCCAATTATTGCGGTTTCAGACGCCTTCGACCTCGAAGCAGGTGCCTGTCTCTCTTAACTGTCCTGTTTTCCTGGATCTACTAAGTAGTGGATCTGCCGGATCTTCTCTTTCTACGACATTGATAGATAACTATCTATAGTTCAACACACTACTACTACTTTGGGCTTTTCCTAACTAAGCTAGATGGATTACCTCTCAAAGCTATAGGCTAATTTCCTCCACCATTTTAGCAAAATGTAACCCTGGAACATATAGCGTTTAACTCACGCATCTGAACTATGTAGACAAACATAATAAAGACAATATAAAATCCTTAAAAATAAATAACATGCAAGAAAACTTAAGTCGTGGTCTGCAGTTAACATTTCCCATGGATTCCGGTGAAAAGTCGTTCCCCGGACGTTCGTTTTCCTGGCGATGGCACGTACTACTTTAGTTCTGTTATATGCACGAGATCTACTTGCTTGTGACTGTCGATTGTTGGGATATAAAATTTTAGGAATAGCACGTCAAACTTCTTGTATGGGCTAATTTACGAGAAATTTAACTATGCATTTCTACCCTTGAATTATTAACTGAATTATTAGCTTTGTGGCAGGGAATTTCGGGGGGTTTGACCGCGCTCCGAGTTCTTCCGCCACAAGGCCTGTTTGGCTCTACCCCCGATTATTTAGGGCGCCAGACCGTCGGCTGATTACGGCGATCGTCGGGGGTAAGGCCAGTCGGGTTGTCGCGTATCCCGGTCTGCCTAACGGCGACTGCGTAGAGTGGGCAGATGGGGGGAATACGCGTTGTATCCTAGCTTCAGGCCTTTGGTGTCCAACTTTCCTTCGCTTTCTCCTTGACTAGGGTACGCCGGCAGCTCAGATGATGACTCCTTAAGTCAGGTCGTGAGGACGTTCGAAATCGCGCGTATTTTACCTAACGAATAATCCGAAAATATAGCGAATTAATGAAACCCGTATGTAACCGCTCGCGGCTGAAAATCGCTAGCATGCAACAGGGGTAGGTTATCCAGTAAATTTTATATATATAAATATAAAGATAATTAATCGTTTTATTGACGCATTAAAATTTTTCACATACGAGGTCGGAATAAATATGGTCGGTAAAATTCTGAATTTTCCTTAATCCCTAAAGATACAATTTAATCGGTTCCTAAAATGGCGGAAAGGTCAGCGCGAGTAATAAATCGCGATTTTCTTTTATAAGATCTAACGCTCAAATTCGGTTTGCGAAATGGCGGAAAGGTCAGCACGAGTAATAAATCGCAATTTTCTTTTATAAGACCTAACGCTCAAATTCGGTTTGCGGAATGGCGGAAAGGTCAGCACAACTAATTAGTCAAAACAATTTAATTCAATTGAACCTACGTTTGTACTAAATAACTAACGAAAGGTCAGCGCGAATACTAAATTGCAAATTTTCTTTTGTAATACGAACACTTAATAGAAGTTGACGAAAGGTCAGCGCGAATACTAAGTCGCAATTTCCTCTCGTAACCGGACACTTAATAGAAGTTGACGAAAGGTCAGCGCGAATACTAAGTCGCGATTTTCTCTCGTAACCGAACACTCAATTTATTTTCACGGAATGGCGAACAGGTCAGCACGATCCGGTAGGCACCGGCGTCGACGGATCCACGCGTCGCGACGACCTACAGCACCGAACTAAATAAATTGACTAATCTAACCCGCACTCCGCGATTAAATAATATGAGTGGCACTTTGCCTACTTACAATTTTCTCCTTGCGGTATAAGCAAACAATTGGCAAGATATCTAGGCGTCTAGCACTAATGGTCTAATAGCGATTAGCTGTTAGCTCCTTCCTTGCGGATATCCAGTGGCAAAATGGACGAGAATCGGCTTCTCGCGGTCAAAGATCGTTTCTCTTCTCCTCTTTCCGAGAAGAAATGTTATTATTGGTCGGTATGCTAATTCGGATATCGGTAGCGCCCTTCGAATTTTTATCATTGGTCCGTATGTAAATTAGAATGATACAGCGCCCTCCTTAACTCTCCTACTTTCGTCGTTATTTACTCTCTCTCACCCCCCACTAAGGTATCTATCATTAATTGTCGGAAAAGATCTACCCCTACTCTTATCTATTCGTCTATGCGGACGGAAATCAAATTTTATTCTAATTTGCCTATTGGTCGTGACGTCACTAGCGAATTTTGTCAGATGTTCGAATTCGGTTAGTTAAATTATCATTTAAACCTAAAGGGGGTAGTTGTCGCTCGCCATCATAATAGGGGTGTCGGTCGCGTGCGAATTTTACAATTCGATATTTGTTTCGTGTTCATTCTTTTTTTCAATTTATAATTTAATTTTAATATCAGAAATACGTATATAATATACGCCGTTTCATTTGTAGCGCCCTCATCTTCGCATTTACATATTATTCTATTATTTTATATCGTCTGTCTCGCTCGCTCTTGTTTCGTCTATTTCGCTCGCTCTGTCTCGCTCGCTCTGTCTCAGTCTGTCTCGCTCGCTCGCTCTCAGTCTATATCGGCGCTTCAAGATGGCCGCTCAGTTTCTCGCGCGTACGCCTCGTGTCCTTGCGCTGGTTGTTGGAGCGCCTCCTGGGGCGCTCCCGTGTCGGTTCTGTGGTGTTTTTCCGGGTGTTTGTGTGTGTGGTCGCTGATTTTCGTGTGTGTGGCGCTCACGATGTCGCCGATGGTGTTCGGCAGCCCGACACAGCTGATTGCCGGCTGCCACTTCATCGGCGATTTTCTGCTCGCCCCAGGAGTGTCAGTGCCTCGTGAGTGTTCGTGTTGATGTCTGGGAGTGTAACGGATCTGCATGTGTCATCAACATGCATCTCCGTTGCATTTCCCAGTCAGGTTTTGCATTTTTCTTTTGCCGGCCGGCAACACGTGGTCGGGAGTGTCTGTGAGTGAGTGT